TCTGAAAAGCAGTGGAAAAAATGTCCTCAGGTAAGGATTAAAAAAAAAAAATTCAGGTTCTGATTGAGTTGACCTGAGGTGAGATTTTGCTCTTCTAACAAGCTCCCAGGTGATGTCTGTGCTCCTGGTTCAGGGCTTTAGCAGTAGGGTACTATAGCAGTTGAAGCAGAATTAACTCAGACTAAAACATCTTCAGGTGATTATACTGAATGGCCAGATTTTTGTGCTTTCCACATCAAATGTGGGGATCAAAGAGAGGAGGGTGTTCATGTCTCATGGGAATGGGAATGTTCTGGGCCATTTTGGAGGTGCTCAGTGTTATAAGAAAAGATATAAGGAGACATAGGAAGAAGGAAAAAATCCCATTTGGATACCTGAAGATGATTAAAAAATAATGGCAAGAAGAAAGTTCAGTGAAAGCCTAAATTATGCTCAAGGTTTCCATGCCGGAAGTCCCCCTTCATTTCTATCCAAGTCTTGCTCAGCTGTCCCAGACTCCTTCACAGAACTTTAACTGATAAGTTCAGCCCATACTAGTCTCTCTCTCTCTGAAAAGTTTTAAGAGCACCTTACATTTATTGCTTGTTCTTAAATCATTTGTGTGTGTGAGTCTTGTTATTACAACTACAATCCGTTTTTGAAAGTAGGGACTGTGTTTTATACCTCCTAGGTGTGTGCTGAACAGTCAGGGAAAGCCAGCATAGGCACTATTGTAGTTGGGTTGTTGGGTAATTTAAGTCTGTGCTTCCTAAACCATCTGTGACAAAAGACCAGTATTTGAGTGGGCAAATGTCATTGACTGATACTTATGTAGTACATTGACATTGAGGTAAATCAATTTGAGAGAGAGAGAGGAAGGAAGAGAGAGACAGATATCGATTTTGTTGTCCCACTTACTTACGCATTCATTGGTTGATTTTTGTATGTGCCCTGACCTGGGATCAAACCCACAGCCTTGGCATATCTGGACGATGTGCTAACCAACTGAGCTACCCGGCAACTACCCAACTATAAAAGTTTTTAAACTCTTTTGGACATTTATGTTTTGCTTATGTCATTGTGGGTGGGTTATAAACAGTTTATGGACTGCCACCAAGCTGAGAAGCAGTGGGCTTAAGTCACAGAAAGACATGTCGACATTTGAAGATAATTCTGGGTTAGGAGTAAAAGATAGCAATGTGAGACCTGGCCAGGTAGCTCAGTTGGTTAGAGCATTGTCCAGATATGCCAACGTTGTGGGTTGGATCCCCAGTCAGGGCACATATAAGAATCAACCAATAAATGCATAAATAAATGGAATAATAAATCAACCTCTCACTTTCTCTCTCTCTTTCTCTCTCTCTCGGTATCTCTCTGTACCTTCCTCTCTCTCTAAAATCAGTCAATCAGTCAATAAAAGGTAGCAATGTGAGGACAGAGATCTGTTTGGTAAGAATGGGATACTAGATAGCAGGAAAAGGTAGAAGGGCTCTAGACTTTCTGCCCTGGAAACAGAAAGACAACACTTACCAAACAGACATTTCCACTGATCCGCGAGAGAGTCTGGCAGGCTATAATCCTGTCCTTCCATTGATGGCTGTTCAGCTCCACAGCAAGCATGGTGTGTGTCAGGGTCTGAGGAAATGGATGACTTTATGGCTACGCATGATCATCTTTATAGGTACTAGGACCTCGAAGAACTTCCATCCTAACGTGGCATCCAGCATAATTAATGTCACAAGTACATGAGGTGCCCATCCCTAGCAAGGAATGGGTTTATAAAATATGGAGCATTCTTCCATCTAACCCAGTGATTTCCAACCTTTTTCATCTCATGGCACTCATAAACTAATTACTAAAATTCTGTGGCACACCCAAGAATATATTTTTTGTGATCTGACAAAAAAAAAAAGTATAGTTTTGATTCATTCACACCAGACAGCTATTGTTGTGTTGGCTGTCGTCATTTCTTTATTTGATTATCTAAGGGAAAAGAGGTCAGTGCCCTGACTAAATAGGTATTACACGTTTTAAAAATTCTTGGGGCAGCTCTGGCCAGGTGGCTCGGTAGATTAGAGCATCGTCCCAAACACCAAAAGATTCCAGGTTCGAGTTGGATTCCTGGTCGGGCACATACATAGTTTGCAGGTTCGATCCATGGTTCGGGCATGTACAGGAAAGCAACCGATCAATATTTCTCTCTCCCCCCGCCCCCTTCCTCTCCCTAAAATCAATAAAAAAAATATCCTCAGGTGAAGATTAAAAAAATAAAAATTGTGCCCAGCCGGGCGTGGCTCAGCGGTTGAGCATTGACCTAGGATCCAGGAGATTGGGGTTCGATTCCCGGTCAGGGCACATGCCCTGGTTGCGGGCTAGGCAGCCAATCAATGACTCTCTCATCATTGATGTTTCTACCTCTGTTTCTTCCTCTCCCTTCCTCTCTCTAAAATCAATAAAAATATATTTAAATAAATAAATTAATTAATTAAATAAATAAATAAAAATTGAAAATCGCTGATCTAAGTCAACTGACTTCTGGGAGCATGAATCAGGGAACAAAATACAGATTTTGTAATCTGAACAGAAAACTCCTGGGGCTTCTTCTTTCTTTTTTTTATTTTAGAGAGAGAGAAACATTGACTTGTTCTACCTATTTATGCACTCACTGGTTGATTCCTGTATGTACCCCAAACAGGGCTAGCACCCTCAACTTTGATGTATTAGGACAATGCTCCAACCAACTGAGCTACCAGGCCAGGGCATCGCTTTTCTTGCCTTTATCTATCTTTACCCCTAAAATGATTTTTATATGCTTCAATCTTTGTGTTTTGCATTTCTGCTGAAAGTAAACAGAATTGTAAGCCTGTGTAGTTCTCAAAGGTCAGTTTCTAGCGGAAGTAATTCTACATGTTACAACTCTTGCATAGACAGAAACCATCTGCAGCCTCTTCTCTCACCTTTCTCTAAGCCAGCTGTTGTCATTTTTCCCTGTATACACCTCTACACCCCAGTGCAACCACACTGAGTCCAGTTTTACCTATGCTTGAGATCATCCTACCCAACTGCCTGCATTTTCAGTTCTTTACATGCACTGATCTCAAAGACCCAGTTGTTCCCCAAAACTTGGTTTCTTTTTCTGACCCTGTAATGGACACGTACCGTCTTCCCACTGAGATGGCTCAGGAGCATGTAAACCTGCTGTTCAGTTTTCTCATTCTTCTTGTTAAACAGCTGATGAAGGATCCTCTTAATCACAGAGTAAGAGGCTGTACCCTCCACAGCCAAGCACTGAGCTGCAGCCCAGCTGTCGACGTTATTACCTGCCACAGAGGGGTGAAAAAAGTAGTCCAGATAGGTGACCTGTGTCCCCTGCAGAGAGAACAGCCTTTGCGTTGGTACCCAAGGCTGCTACCTACCTGATACCTGACTTCCCTGTGCCCCTCTCAATCTAGAATCCAATCCCATATTTAAACAATATTTAAATGAGTTATATCAAGGTTTTAAATATAGACTGAAAATCTTAACCTGAAAAGTTAAATCCTAAAAGGCTGTTGTTAGGTAACATCAATAAGGCACTTCTGGCCTAGCTGAGAGATACAGTTGTTCCTCCCCTTAGAGATTGGGAAGTCTGGAGTGGAGACTTTCTTTTAAGACAGATGAATCAAGTTGTTGAGTGTCTATATACAGTAGGCCAAACCATTCTGCCAGTTGTCCTTGTCTGTCTCCACCCCCGGACAAGGAACAGGCATCTCTCTGAGCAGTTAGGTACCTTGGGCATATCACTTGACCTTTTTGCTTATATTACTCCAACAATTTATGTGGACAATGCCTATAAGTTAATGTGCAAAAATGGAAGCATGATGTGTTCAAGTGGTGAGTTTTTTAATTTTCAGAAAGTATTCTTTAATATTGTTACATCATTTTTTTTTAAATCTTCACCCAAGGATATTTTTTCCATTGCTTTTCAGAGAGTGGAAGGTGGGGAGAGAGAGAAACATCTCGGGGGACCAGGGATTGAACCTGCAATGAGGTACATGCCCTTGGCCAGAATAGAACCCGGGACCCTTCAGTCTGCAGGCTGATGCTCTGACCACTGAGCCAAACCCGCTAGGGCTATTATATCATATTTTCAATTCAAACAAAAGCCAGTTGTGTGAAAGGGCATGGTTTCTCCTCAAATGCATCTATGAAACAGCCCAGGTACCACTAGGTGGCAGTGTAACTTTTGTCAAAGTGCCTAGAAAGAACTAATTTTTCTCTAAGATAAACTCAAACCCAATACAGTAGACATCACAGAGCATGACAGTGGAGAGGAAAATATTAGAAGATGATGATAAGATATCTCTCCTTTACCCTATATTCCCAGGTCAGAAGAAACGGGGAGTTACTCACCATTCAAAAGGGCAGTCTGCATGATGTTCCGGGCAAGGGGATTATGTGACTGTATAGCATATTGGCATATCGCAGCTGCCATCTGCACGTTGAAATTCTTGTCACAAAGAGCAGCCTCCAGAGCAGGCTGTAGAACCTCTGGCAAGTCCTGGATTGATGGGACTCCCACAGTCTCCTTGTCTGTGATCAAAAGAGAGCTAGAGAAGAGAGTGCTAGCCCCTTTGCTTTTCTCTGAAACACAGCTTCCTTTCCATGGCCACATACATGGTGGCCAACCTCATCTCAGTTGCAGGTGCTTACTTCTGTGTAATATAATTAGAGTTTAGTTGGGCCCCTACAATGGGCAGGATTTTATGGCTCACTTCTGTGCTGGGTATGCCAGTTCCCAGTTCTTTGTCATCTGGTCTTGAAGAAGCTATGTTCAGTTCAAGCCAAAGAGGAATGTTTCCAGCTAGGCTCTGATGACTTTCACCATTAGTTTTAGTGATGAAAATCAACCTATTTACCCTATATATTTTTTAATTTTTACATTACATTTTGTGTTTTTATATTTTTAATAATAATAGCAATTACATTTAGGTAGTGCTTTGCCGTTTAGTGTTTTCATATTCATCTCATTCATTCTTCCAACCTTCATTAAAGTAGGCAAGGCAGGTATTACTGCAGACCTCACCTGAAATATGTGTATTTCAGGAATCTTGATTTAACTAAACAGTCAGACTCATAAGACTATAAGACTATCATAGGCCACACATGGTACCAGTCTTTGGAAGGATATAGGATGGGAGCACAATTTGCCAACAGGGCAGCCTTGGGCACTCCTTTTGGCCAGAGTTCTTGAGGTGGTTTGAATAGCATTCCCCAGAGCCTTCTAGGGACAGCTCAGAAGCATGAAATCCACTCTGGGTACAAGTCTTATGTTTCACAGGAGTTAGTATCTCTTATAACAGCTCCATAGATATAATCTTAGTGTCCCTAAAGGGCATACTGTTACATAAGTCACAACATTTATGGAAGCCTAAAGGATGACGCCCCTTGAGATATTTACATTTCATTTATAGTTCTTCCAAGTCCAAATGTAATTAATCAATCAGGGCTCATTTTTATCATAAGCAATGTTGCCTATAAAGATAGTTCCCCAGAGACATAAAAGCATGGAACAGACTGAGGAATCTCAGAGGGAAGGTGGGGGTGAGGGAGTGGGTGGAGAGAGATTAATCAAAGAATTTATATGCTGAGATTAAAGATGGTTACAGACTGAGTGGAAGCTATACTGACACTCTCCCAGGACCAAACTGGAATTACAACTAAAATATAGAAAAACCATTCTGAATAATCAACTGCAACTGAAGACAAACTGGAGAGCACCCTCATAACCCAGGAGGAAAAGTGGAGACTGCAAAGAGACTGGTAGGAAGTGCAGAGGTGCAAGAGGGCTGGCTGGGCTCTCACAGGCAATAGCTGAAGGTCCAGAGGGATATCTCAGTTGTGGGGGTTCCCACTGAGGACTCTGGGGCCTAAGCCCCAGACTGGGCTTCCCAGCCAAGAGCACCAGAACTGAAAAAGGTGCCCACATAACATCTGGCTGTGAAAAACAGTTGGATTTCTGTCTGCCAGGAAGAGATGGCTCGAAATACAGGCACCCTCTTAAAGAGCCAACACACAGAATTTCATGTGCAGCCACTCACCTTGGGCTCCAGCGGGGGGGGGCAGAGTGGACTGGAGCTGTGTGAGGAGAATCTAGAGTTGCAGGCTCTGGATTCCTGTGCTGAGTCATCCCCCATACTGCAGAGGCAGACATTTACCTTCCAAGCAACTTTTGCCTGAGGGGAAAGCAATTGCCCCATCCTGCCGGAAAACCTCTTGCCCTACCCCCCTGGAGTTTCTATAACCTGAGGCTCATTAAGAGAATCAGATTAATCAACCTGTAGCCAGAGGCAGACTTCAGAGTGTTTTGAGTCTTTGCCTGGCCTGCTTCTGGACCCAGACCTTGGAAAAGCAGACTTTGGTGTACTGTCCAAACACACCCAGCCCCACAGAGGGGACCTCAAGCTGTGGGTTGTTGATAGCTCCAAACGGTACTCAAGGCCAGTCACAAACAGCATCTGACACTGGCCTGCACCAGAGATCCTCCAAAAAAACTGAGTGTCCTAGCAGGCCTACCTAATACATAGAAACAAACCCAAATAGGCAGCCAAATAGGGAGTAAAAAAACAAGTCCCAAATGAATGAACAAGAGAAGTCCAAACAGAGATAAACAATCTGTCAGATATAGAGTTCAGAATGCTGATTGTAAGGATGCTCAACAGTATGAAAAAAGATACTGAATCTCTGAAGGAAATTAAGGATAACATAGCAAAAATAAAGAATACATTGGAAGAAATAAACAGCAGATTAGAGGAAGCTGAGGACCAGATTAGTGAATTAGAAGGCAGGGTACAAAAAATCAGAGATCCAAAAAGAAAAAAACAACTGAAAAACAGGACAGTCTAAGGGAACTGTGGGACAATATGAAACGTAACTATTCACATCATAGGAAAGCCAGAAGAGGTCAAAAGTAAGCAAGGGTTAGAGAATGTGTTTGAAGAAATAATGGCAGAAAACTTCCCTAACCTGGTCAAGGAAAAAGGCACACAAGTTCAGGAGGCACAGAGAGTCCCAAGCAAGAAGAATCCCAAGAGGCCGATGCCCAGACACATCATAATTAAAATGCCAAAAATTCATGACAAAGGATATATATATATATATATATAT